GGCAACAAGTCCCTGCCTAAGTTTTCAGACGCAGCCAATGATTTATCAGGAAAAAATTGGGGCTAACCGTTATTGTTTTTGTTAATGAAAATAAATTTGCTTCTGCATTTCAAGTGCAAGCTACTGCTATTGTCAACTCAAGCTACTGCCAAATGTGCATTTCCAACAAAAAAAAAACATATGTTAAATGCATTTCCAAGAAACATAATTATTAATAGTTTTTGGTGCCAAATCAGGTGCTGGTGTCACTGGTCTCAAATGTTATTCTGGATTCCTCTTTTTATTTATATAAAAAAAGGGTGTGAGAGATCTAGGATAGTTCTTCTTAAAGAAAACGTCCTCTTACTACAGCTAGAAATAAGTACGGAAACTAGTAGAGCTTATCTGCAGGATCACAGCATGAGTGTAAGAGGTCATGAAGATACACCCTGACCTTTATTATCAGTCTTAGAATCTCACAGATACATACTAAGATCACACAGTAATATCACTGTTTGATTTGAGTGAATCTTTTATCTGTCAGATTCAGTTTTCAGTACTTTTGTCTAAGCAAACGCCAAATGTTTTCATGTGAGCGGCAATGGAAAAAAGTCCTTCAACCGCATAGTGTTCACTCAGACACGCTATTCACACCTCAGAGACACTCATCAAACACAAGCGTCCGGCTGTAGATACCTGCTCATGCACAAGCTCTTCGGCTACACAACCACATTTCTGAACCTATAACGGCAAGATTCACTCCTGTCACAACTTCTGCATACGTGCAGCTACATTTGCACATACACACATGGTCTCTTAAGCATAAGAGTTAAACATGAAAACGCTTCAATGGTCCGTATGATGTAGATCATTTGTAGGCTATTACAAGGCGTATTCTTTTATAAGACAGCATTTAATTGATCAATATTTAGTTTTAACGTATCGCACTTCAAACCCTCAGGATGATCCTGCATGTCCGCTTGGATTTCCTGATGAAACGTGATGATTCTCACAAACCCAAACTCAACCATCGACTCAGAGTCTGAGGATGTTGCAGGAGATTCATAGCCTGGCTCCGCCCTCCTACGCACTTCCGCTCAATTTTATTTTCCTTCAGTACTACGTCTGGGATTGTGCTGTAGACTTTGGTTTCCAGAAATAATTTTTTTACCGGTCCAATCAGCGAACAGAGGGAGTGGCTGAGAACGATGACGTTGATGTAGCGCGTCAGTTTGAGTTGGAGTTCAGTAATGGCAGCGGAGAAAGACGTGAGAAAATCTATTCGGTCCGTTGTTGCAAAACTGCCGAATATCCAGAAGTTAAAGCCGGAGCAAGATCAATGTTTGCTAAGTGTTGTTGGTGGCCATGATGTTGTGGCCCTCCTCCCCACGGGGTTCGGGAAAAGTTTAATTTTCCAGCTCACTCCGCTAGTGGTGAATGAGTTAGCTAAGGCGAACGATAGGATGCAAAGCCGATAGTTGTTGTCGTCTCCTCTTGTTGCACTAATGGAGGACCAAGTGAGGGAGGCAGAAAGGTTAGGAGTTGGTGCTGGGCAGCTCGGCGTGCACGATGATCACTGTACAGCATTTGCGGCAGATCCGAAACGACCGCAGCGGCGTATTGTTAATGATTACACCCAGCTTCGACAGTTGACTGAATACATCACTGTCCTTAGTGTCAAATATACATTTAGAATTTAGAATTGTTCCTTGAACTCTTAAATTCGATGAACAAAACATGCAGCTCTCGTTGACAGACATCTTATTCTAAACATAATCCTCTGATCATTCGGACTTGTTTTTTTTTTTATTGCTTAAAACAATACACAAGTAATAACAGAAAACATAATACAAAAACAAACAAAAAATAATAATAAAAACAAAACAAAAATAAAACAGCAGGGGGATAATATAAAATAAACATGAACAAGTTAAGAGAATTACATGACACTGAAAAAAGGAAAATAATTACAAACAGATAAAGTTTTTAAGGCTTTTTTTGTTCTCAGACAACTTACTTGAAAAGAGGTATTTTTAACATTCTTTCACAAATATAAGAAAGAGAGGTTTAGCATTTAGATATTTAGATTTATGAATATGGAATTCGGACTTGTTGTTTCCAGCCGGTTTCGGCGCATGACATACGTCACGACCACACGTTAGCGATTGGCTATGGCAGATCCTGAGTGACGCTGGGCAGATCCAATAGTTTTGAACTTTAACAGAGAACCCGCCTACAAGGAAGTAAACGTTTCTCAATGGAGCGAGGCCAGACTCTCTGTACAAATGAAATGTACGAGAGTCTGGTAGAACCAGGAGATTCACAGTGAAAGCGATGACACAGCAACTGATCTGATAGAAACAGATTGATGATCATACGGCAACCGCTGCATACTCCACATGATCCTCCTCTTCAACATTCTGTAAAAAACAAAACAAAAAAAAAAACACAAGAGATGATAATAATGAAAAACAAAGAAGTGTGTCCTTCTTAGAAAGACTAGTCAGACAGATCCCTCGTTGTGAACATGTGATTTTTGGACTTCATATGAATATACAATGTTTTGAAGTAATGCCAAATTGGACAATAAAACCTGATTTTGCTGTTACAAGATAAAAAAAAAAAGCTGCAGCCTTTGTGTTATGAAGCGGATTTGACAATCTTCATATGATGTAAAAAGCGGATTTTCTTGTTGACTGTTGTGCAATCCATCAAAAAAAAATGCATTCTTATGACTTTCATTTCCTGAATGCTTCAGTTTCCTGTCAGACGGTTTAACATTGAGAGTTTTGGTAAAACAAACAAACAAACAAACACTGTTCTCTGCTCAAATCAAAGACAATGTTCAATCCAGGCATGTGCACAAGACCCCTAGTGCCATTTAGCTTTTGACTAAACAAGTGTCCTTTTTACAAGATTACATTTTTTATTTAATTGCATTTGAGTTCTAATTCTGCGTGACCGCACAAGTTTTTTCTGCAATGAGGAGGCAAAGTCCTCACAGTCCCCTTACATTTGTTAAATAGAACTTAATTGTTTAGTATTGGGACTAAATGAACCATTTTTGTTGAAATAACTAACTGGACAGTGGATTTCCAGCATGTTTTTCATAGCACTTCATTATGAGAGTAAATGTTGAAATTAACTGTAATTAAATGTGTCTTTTAGGAAATCAGTTCATTAGTTTTAGTGTTTAGTGTATTGCTTTGCTCAGTGAGAATTAACTGCTCATTCAAATAATATATTATATTTATTAGAAAAACTCTGTGAATGTGTTCTCCTGGTGCTGCTGACATGGCGTTCAAAAATTACAGATTTCTTTATATATTTATATTACTTTAATGAAATTAATGTATATTTAGTTTGATAATTTTTTTGTTATATATATTTTTTTTGGGGGGGGGGGGGGGGGGGGGGTGTTAAGATACTAAATTCTATTTATTACCTGTTAATCACTTTTTAAGCATATACCTGAAAATTTAATTTCCAACTTAAACTGTTGTAAATCTTAACTGCTTAGAGCACAGACTTAAGTTTGATCACTTGGCAGAATATTGCTAAAGTGAAACAAGTAAAAAAAAAAGTGAAACTAAAAAAAGTTTAAAAAAAAAATAAAGATTTTTTAAAAATGTTGTATTAAATATATATTTTCCAAAACATGTACTGTAAAATTGTGAGAAAATCAAAGCCATAAATCTAAACAAGTTGTGTTACAAATTTGTAGCTGATATCTCAAAAACGACCTTTCAGTAATAATTTTTAAAAACAGTAAAAAAAAAAACAGTAAATAAACTTCCCACTTCCCATTAGTTTTCACTGCGCAAATTTTGACACAGGAGCAGTGAGTGTGACTATTTTTTTCAGGACCATTTAACATTTTAAAATCATGTACATTATTGTGTGTGTGTTCACGTAGCAAGTGCCAAAAGTCTTTACCAAGTTTCATACCATTCTGATGAAGTAAAAAATTCTAAAACAAAAAATAAAAAACGTAACATTTTTCAGTCAAAAATGACCAGACAGCACCAGATGATTATGTTCATTGAACAAAGTATTTTTTAAATGTATATTATATTCACTGACTGAAATTTGAAGTCTATAGTGTTGATATTAAGGTTCAGAGGTCCAGAACTCTTTCAGTCTTTCTCATTTGCTTCAAAAATAAATTACTTTGGCTTTTTTTTTGGAACTACGTTCTTGGGCAGAGCAGATATTTTGTGCATTTCTGTTACTGAATAATCATACGTTATTCATAAATATCTGATATAGTTCTGCTGTGTGAGTGATATATCAGAAATACAGATACTTAAATGATACAGAGTGACATATGACTCATGACATAAATTAAACACATAATCTTACCAATTTATGTGCGTTTCTTTTGTGGAATGTCGGATGAGCGTAAGTGATCTTTCTGTTAAGAGTCTGAACTGTTTCTACAACAACAATAATAGATGCATTAAAACCACAAAACACACGCTTAGCTATATCTGATTCTTTGAAACATTATTAGAGCTGTCAGCTAAAGTACTTCCAGGTTTTGACTGCATTACATTTCCATATCACTAAATATTATTTGTAAAGTTCCTAACAGCCTAGAACAGCAAACGAACCAAAACCCACTGACCAAGCCAAATAATAAATAGCAGGATCAAAAATGCCAAACTATTTCCATGTTTTCCCCCACTAAGTGACCTTTTATGGAAATCCCTCTCTGACACATACTGTACTGAAACGTTCACACGCACACAAACTTTCAACCGTTGCCCCGCAATTTACTTTTCAATAATATATTTTTCAACTGAAAACCCTGCATGTTATTTCTCATTAGTAGTAGGGCACTTGCCTTCTTGATCAGTTTTCCTACATTTCTTGCAGATGCAGAAGATCCCAACGACTGCAGCAACAATCATCAGAGATCCAGCAGAGATCAGGACGAGGTAAAATAAGGGAAGACCTTGATCTGTAATGGACAAAATGGAAGTGAATATGTCTGATCGATAACAAAATCAGAGATCAGGTCAGTAAACACACACACATATCATCAGTGCTGCTGTACCTGCACATGTGTGGCAGAGTGTGTTGATGTCCAGATGTGTGGTCTGGTTGCTGATGGGATTGTTCAGCACACAGCTGTAGGTGTTTTTATCCTGATATTCCACCTCCAGAGGTAGAGAGAGACTGATGCTGAGATCACACACACTGATGCTGGACAATACACTCATTCCTGCGTACCAGGAGAGAGTCGCATCACACACATTCAACACTGATGAACACACCAATGAACAATTTGAAGAACATTGTGAAGAGTTACTGATGATGACAGGAACAGGCAGACGAGCTGGAAAACATGAGAGAATAAAGAGTGATATGGGTAAATCTACTCAACAATACTATTTTCAGTTCAGTGTGTTAAATGATTATTTATATGGTCCGTTATTTTAAGCTATAAAATGATCCAATTCAATATGTAAAAATAAACAAATATTTGAAGGACAGGACAAAGGATCTCTACTCACCATAGACAGAAACACTGAATGTTTTTGATGATCGTTTCGCTCCAGTTATCAGTAGTTGATAATCTCCAGCATGTTCAGTTGTGGTGTTCATGATGGTCAGAGATCCAGTTTGATCGTCCAGCTTCAGTCTGTCTCTGAATCTCCCATCAGGAACATCATCATATGTGGAGAAGACTCGTGTCTCAATGCTGATTTTAGCTATCAGAGAGTTTTCAGCTCCATATTTCCACAGTATATCGTCGTCTTCATGTATTTCAGTAACATTAGTGTTTAGAGTGACAGATTCTCCCTCCATCACTGACACTGAATCACCAAACACACCTGATGAACAAACAGATTTACACATATTAATGTTTCTGATGTTTTCCTGAATCCTGAAATCAGCTGCAATTTTTCATTTACATGTGAACTGAAGAACATTCACAACAGCAGCAGAGACACAAAATAAAAGGTGAGATATAAGTGAACATTTGATCTAAAATCAGTGTGTAAAGTCACATGTCCATTATTTTTCAAAACCATTTCAGACCTGGAAATTTCAGTGCAAAATCCTGAACAGAGACCTGACCTCAAAAATAGTAGATCTCACAATATTCAAGATATTCTTTGATACAACAAATATGAAAATAGTCTAATAAGCAGCAGCTTTATTACTCAAGAAAGAAATTAAACCATAAAAACGTGTTTATAACTCACCAGTCAGACTCCACCAGCACAAACAGAATAAAACAAACATGTGAAACATTTTCTCCAGTAGTTCAGTGTGTGATGAAACTATCCACTGACAACACTCAGTCTATATGTGTGAATCCTCCCACGACACAGTTTGACCCTCCTAGTTTCACAAGTCATATTTATAGTTAACCTGCCCTTATTAAGACTTTAACTGTTCTTAATGGGTGAAAATATTATTTATTTTTATCGATTGACAGACTTTTTGTAAGATTGTTGCCTGACTTTGTTAAATGGCTAAATCGAAGAATGTTGTTTGAATTGTGTATAAACTGCATGTCATGGTAAAATAGTGTATCTCTGGTGATTTTAAAATGGTTGATGGTTGTGTATATTTATTCAGCTCTCAATTTTAGTGAATGGAAAAACTGAATTAAAAAGTTAAAACCATGTATGGTCTGGCATTACTAGTTTTACTGACGTTGATCTTCTGAGTGAAAGTGAAACTGCTGCGGCCGGTGTTCTTCAGAGACGTGGTTTGATCTGGTGGGTCTACAAACATCTGTGTGTGGGCATTCAGTGCAAGTGTGTTTAGTTTGTAGGGCCGGGTCCTTCCTTCCTTCTACTATGAACAGCTTTTGAAAGACCCTCTGTGGTGAATATCAAGTTTATAATGTTGTTTCTTTCTATGTGGTGTTTTTAATGTTTAAAGACAAACCATGTGCAAATTCATAGGTCAGCACCATTGCTGAGTATTTTCTTTTTCTTCTACGTCACAGACATGTGACCAGTTCTGTCAACGTGGGTGTCCAGGGATTTTCCTGTCACACTGAGCACAAATATACCTTTAAGAAGGGAACGGAAAAATATAGTGGGTGAAATATATCATATGTTATGATGAACTATATGCTGGTGAGGGATAAAGGGATACAATTATTGAGTGCAGGGGAACTTTAAGTCTTTTTAATCTATGTAAAAAAATATTAGAAACTGTGGCTGTGTCCAAAATACATTCCCTTATATAGGGCACTATTTGAGGGGACAGCCCTTTGTGTCCATAATCATAGTGGATGTTATCGAGTGCAATCCCACGATGCACTGCAATGTACAACTGATCCTTGATGCGCCTAAATCAGCTCCCTATAGTTCAGTAGTCACTGGTCAGGGATTTGGCCATTTTAAGGGGTGTCTGAACTGCAAAATCCTTCCAGTGCACTGAAACATTCGCTCCCTTAAAAGTCCCACAATGCACCGTTAAAACCAGGAAGCATCGATGCTCACTATGTTCACTTAACGGAAGTTCAGAAGCGCGAAACATGAATCACGTGAGCCAACTCACTATTATAACCACACCCGATAGATATTTAAAAAAAATTCTAACTATTATTTAATTATATTTCAGCATAATCATACATCGCTGGACAGGTAATGAACATAATATATTGTCTGAGTACATATGAATTTGAATTTACAGCCGAGCCCACACTGCGCGATTTTATCTCCGATTTTTACTCGCCGGAGGAAAATCAATGCTCATTCAGCCGAGTGACAATCAAGCAGTGTGAATTATCAAAGACGCGATCTGACATAATCGTAGATGAGTATTATATGAGCACAATATTCTATTGTGTTTGTTAAGAGTTTACCTGCAGCGCAGTGTGCGCACGTTTTATGTTAATTTTGATAAGAGAGAAATAACAAAAGAGCACGATCCTCAGTACGCCGACCCTGTCTTCTTCCTTCCATCCCACGGACATTGCTACTCACAAACTACAATTCCTGTTCATTCCTGTTCCTGTTTGTATGATGGTCATTAACTTGTATAAGGTCATTAATGAGACTCATGTTTTTCTGAGTAAACATAAATCAATGATTTTCTGCTGTATTACATTATTAATCCAGACATATTTATCTGTTATCTTTATGTAAAGAAGAAAATAGTATGTTCACAGTACTTCCCTACATGTTGTGTATAGCCTATATTTGTTCCAATATTCAAAAAGTGGTTTATAATTAAATGTTAATTTCTTTTTTTAGGGTTTTTCATTATTCGAACAGACGTGTAATCATAAATAAAACAAAGACTTATAACGTCTAAAGATCCTCACCATCAGCAGCTATTAGACTATATTAAACTCCAATAACATGACAAGCCAGTTGCAAGTTCATCTACAGTAGATACTTTAGACTGAGGAATCCCCAGCATGAATCCCCTTGTTTCAGTGTTTCGTCTGAGAACAATGATTCTGAGATTGCTAAAGATTCAACTAAAGAACTCTGTGAATCAATTGTGGCAAAATTACAAGGAAGTGGGATTTCAAACAGTTTAGTAGACTTGATTTTAATCTCATTCATGTTTTGAGCAACCAACAACACATTATCAAAATGCCACTAATGAAAGATTACAAGTCTATCAACAGCATCACTTGGACTTATTTTGGAGACTTTAGTCCTCCTTGTGGTGGTGAAAGATGTATCAGTAACAAAGGGGTCCTGGTCGTAGACCGAAGACAAAGATTCAAATGAATTAATTAACTGAAAACTTCAAATGAACTTCAACATTCATGTTCATGTTTACCCCAAAATGTGTCTTCCAGATTTAACTAACAGATTAAGCAAATTAATCCGGAAAACACCCATTTTATAGGTTGTGATGTTGCTCAGTTTAATATTTTTCTCATCAAAACAACACAAGTAACTATAACTGCAAAACAATTAAATCAAACACAACTTACTTCTTGCCTCGTCAAGATCACCTTCTGCTGACAGCAATAACTGACTTAACTCTTCTTCTATTGTTCTTCTTTTATGACATTTGGCCCGAAGAACGTGTCCCACTTTTAAAGCAGCGTGGAGGATTTCTCGGCATCAAATAAAAGAGTGAAGTCTTGATCCACCTTTAAGAAAGAAGATATTAAACTATAAACAATTCTCTCAAATTGCATGCCATTAAAACAACATTTTATTCCAAACTTACCAGCCCTTTTGTGTCCGGGAATCATGGGAAGGTGGAGAGGATATCAACACTAGAGCCTGGATTTTTAACAAGCTTCTGGCGATGCTGAAAGGTCTGTCTCATCTTCTGGAAAATTAGTGACTTGTCTGTGTTATGGTTGAGCAAAGACATGGCCTCTTTGCAAGCATCCCCATCAAGTGGATCTTCAAAATTAGTGGCCCTTTAGCATTTAGGGCCTTATCTTCCCGAATCTTCCTGTGGACTGTTTTCATACGCCATGCGATGTATCCTGTGTTGCTTGCAGCATCATAGAAGTGTTCCTGAAATAGATTTTTTTTTTAATCCTTTGTCACGTTCGTGCAAAAATGTCAATCAATCAAATTTCAATGTCATAAAAAAAACAGTATGTTAATCATGTGTCTTCTTGTGGCATCTGCAAGAGTTTCTGTTTCTTGATACTCCTATAGTACTAGCGCAATCGGCCTTCGAAGGACGCAGCCTCTGAATTGGGACGCAGCAACTAGTGCACGCGTCTCAAATCACGGCTTAATGGATTATTTCGAAAAGGTATTAAAGTTTTAATGTTAAGCATCAACTGTATAAATCGTCTGAGCTGTTTACATGACTGATTACAGAAATGGCAGTATTAATCTGCATAACGAGCTGTTTTGTAGTGCGCCATCTAGAGTCAGAATTCACCGTTCCAAAAAAAGTGCAAGTTTAGTGCAGCGGTGTTTAGATGTAAACAATAACAATCACTCGAATCATAACTTAATCATAGCTTAGTTCAGTTATATTACAAACTAACAAATCATTTAGTGGCAAGCTAATTTGTATTTGATCTGTAATGAGAAAATCTGATCTTTTAATAGCATTTGTCTGATGAACATACAAAGTTCACGTCCTTTTTCAAGAAAATAGTATATCGACTGATAATTGATGTATAGACTGATAATTTACAATATTTCAACAGTTTTCATATTTAAAATTTACACAGCTTTTGTTTAATATCTGCACATTAATTAAAGAATCAAAATATTAAATAATTTTAGTGTAGGCCTACTAATATGTACACTTTTTGTACCAATAGCTACCTTTGAGGTACTAATCGGCCCTCTTTAGGTACAAATATGTACCTTTTGAAAGGGTACCGCCCCAAAGACAGCTTTTATACCTTTTTTCTAAAAGTTAACCGATCAAACCACATTCGTGTACAGAAATAAAAAAAAAAGGCATACGAGTAATTTGCGGCTGTGGTTTGCACTAGATAGCTATTAAAACTAATATAAAGCTAATTATTTTTCATATTTTCAGGGACAATTCCATCAGCCCATCTCTGAATATCACAATTGAACATCGCCATAATGACCCTACTGTATGTTCGCTCTGGGATTTTTTTATCCTGCTGAAAATGAACAGATTAAGTGTTATATCATGCTTGTGTCAGACTGTGAGGTTATTGAGGTTAGTGGAAGCAACAGCAAGCTCTGGTTACAGTCCACATTATCTTCCTCTAACTTTCTGTAAAAAAACAAAAAAAAAACAAAAAAAAAACCTTCATAGAGATACAATAAACAGAACAAAACAAAAATTAACACAATTTCCATAGCCTATTTCAGGGAAAAGACTGATGTATCAATATCGGATGAAAACAGTGGGAAATGGGATTTAAATAAACACAACTGTAATATGACCACCAGTGCACACGCATTTTAAACAGCCTATTAATAATAATAACCATTTCAGTTGCAACGAAATCAGGCCTACAGTCATTAAACCCATTCTTTTATAAGCAACCTGGTTTTGATCTAATGTTGACATAATTAACTACCTATATTAAAAGAAATAAGCTAAAGTAGGCTAATAGTCACAATGCTCTCACATAAGCTGTATTTTGCGATCTTAGCTGCGCTCATTTCCGTCATTGGTAAAAGCGGGGGATGGTCATAGAAATTGGCCTATTTATAGCCTACAAAAAATATTGTACAAACAGATCACGTTTGTTGTGTAGGCTATATCACGCAACAACTCTTATAGGAAGGTTCCCGGTTTATAGGGTTTTTTCAAGAACTGCGTCTCCTGTGAAGGGCGAAGAACGACCCTTATCTATTTGTCTGAGGAAAAAAGAGTTGTGAAAA